AATATTTTGTAACACAGCTATTGGACATTTTAACAGATATTTTTACCACCACTGGTCTGAGTACCACAAATAGGAAATACTAGGGTGAGAAAAATCTCGGAGCACTCCTTACCAGTCAGGACCAAGCACCGGGAGCCCTCCCTGGACACAGTCCTGGAATGGACGTGGCTATTAAAGATCCAGCCATGTGTTTATCGCACTGTGGGTCACACCTGGGGCATCAGGAGTATCCAAAGACATGAGGATTTTCACCTAAGAGGAACTGTCCCATATTTGGTACAAGTCCCAAATGAATCATGTTTAAAATATGGACCCTTGGCTGAAGCTCGGGGCAGGGGTGCCTGGCCGAGAATGGGTATTAACATCACGGGACTGTCCCTGTGAACAGCGGTGCAGATGTAAACAGCACCCCCTTGCCCACCTGCCTTTTCTCCCACCAGCCCCAAGACAGCATGCCAGGGTGGGAATGTCCCACACCCCCAGGATCCTACACTGTGTGCCGGTCTAATTAAAAACCCTGTTTTGAATGTCAACATTCTGAGGCTGAATTCTGAAGGGCACCAAAGCGAAAAGGAAAAAAAGAAGATTATCCCAAATCATAGCTCTGGGTAAGCATCAGGAGGGGAGAGTGGTCCCAGCAGGTAGGGCCTCCCCCATCTGGGCAGATGTGCCCGAGCACAGTCCACTCATGAAGAACCTCCATGTGGAGGCCAGGGGTCAAGGTGACCTTGGATCCCTGCTGCTGCCTTTGGTTTAATTGCTTGAGCCACACCCTCTGCTGTCACCTCCTCTCCACCAGCTTCACCAGAGCGCAGGGGTCTTGAGCTCCCTGGGTTGGGGAGGGCAGCTGCGTCTTCAGGTGAGGCAATCGTGGGCCGTGCAGGTGAGGGTCAATGATGAAGTGGTGACGGCTCTTTGTGTTTCAGGTGTCGTCGGGCACTTTGCACAGGCCGTCTGCCCACTGTCCAGAGATAGGGAAGGAGGCTCAGAGAGGCACAGTGACCTGCCTGCAGTCTCCAGCTAGGCAGACAGCCCAGGACTTCGCCTGGCATCCTGCCTGGTGGCCGACCCCAGAATCCCTGTGCCCCGCAGACTCAGCCTCCAGGGGCCTTGGAGAGTTCCCATGACAATAGCAGTAAAAGATTCGGAGGAATTCAGCAGAAAATTAAGGAAATAGAGCTGTTTACGTTTCTGCATCTCAGCACTTCTCATTTGTTTGTCCAAGAGAGCTTCCCTGCTTGCGTTTTAAAACTGGGGTTATTAGTACTCAGGACACAGAGAGACGGGAGGCAGGGTGCCAGGTGTGGGGTGGGGGGTCTCAGGATGCACAGAGGCAGGGTGCCGTGGGGGTCTCCGCTCTGCACAGGCCCGGCTCCGTGTCGTCTCTGAGCCTGTGTCCCCCAGGTGCTGTCAAGTTGCTGTCCAGGAGCAGTCACAGGGCCAGCGGCTGGGCAGGGTCACTAGGTGCACTCAGGGCTCCGTGTGTTGGGGCTGAAAAGCCCTCTCACCCCAACATTATCCAGGACATTTTAATTACAAGAGAAAAAGAACATTTTCCCCCCCAAAGTTGAAATGGAAGGATCGAGTAGACGGAGCTGGTCTCACATCTGTGGGGTCCAGGGACTAAAGGTCTCTGCCTGCCTGAGCTCGGCCTTCCCATGCGATGGCTTCCTTCTTGGTACCACTCTCCATGGTGAGGGCAGGATGGAGGCTCCATCAGCTGCTCCCCTGGAGTCCAGGCCAGCCCCAGGCCCTGCCTCTTCCTGGACACAACTGGGTCATGAGCCCACCTCTCAGCCACTCTCTGGCACCAACAGGATGTGCCACTTCTTTAATTAGTCAGACTTGTGCCATATGCCTGGAGTGGGCAGAGCCCTCCCTTCATCACCTGGAAAGTGAGGAGGGGGGTGTCCCCTCCTGTCTGTCCACCACAGTCTGTTATGAGAGCAAGAGGGGGCTGGACGTTGGGCAGATATACTCAATGAGGGTGGTTTGCTGGGAGCTGGGAGCAACCTACCCTGTAGCTTCCCCTTCAACACAGCTGTTCCACTTCTCAGAGCTGCTGGCTGAACCTAAGCAGGTAAGTGAACAAGCGTGCAAAAAATGTGTGTGCAAATATGTGCATGTGCGAGTGTGTATGTGAGATGTTTATTACAATGTTGCTTATGGTAGAGAAAAACCAGAAAGTCAGTCCAAAGAGAATTGTTTAATGAGTTATGAAATATTCTTAAGAGGTTTGTACAATCTTTCCATGTGACCATGTGTGCCATAAAATAATCCTTCGCCAGGAATCATTTGTAAATTCTAATACAGAGGAACATGCTCAGGTAATTCATCTGTAATGAATCTGAACTTTTATTAAAGTTTTATTTTCATGTAAAAGGGAATTGTATAAAAATGGGATTTATTAAGAGAGGAATAATAATTAAATAAACCATTCACTTCTAAATACTATTGCAACCGACAAGAAATGATGCAGGTCTGCATTTGTTCATTTACACTGTCTACAGAATATTATTGAGTGGAGAAAAAGGTTCCAAGAATTTTCTCATTTTGGAAAAATTGCTTATCTATCTTTTTGGATATGAACAAGTAAAGAGATTTTAGATAATTTCCCCAATGGTAGCAGTGTTAATTTCTGAATTGAAAGTGCTATGGAAAACTTTTAATTTTTTACCACAAATGTGTATGTTTGTAATCAGAAAAAGTCAAGTTATTTATTATTTTCAAAGAAAACTCATTATAGTCTGAGCTCATCTAGGATTCCTCAGTCCTGGACCTGTTCTTAGAATCTGTCTATTCAAGGACGATATTGCCCCAGCGACTGCTAGGGATTGCCCTGGGTTCCTCTTTCCTGAAGTCCCCTCTCCTGTCCTGGCATGGTCATCTGGGAGGCCTGCACTTCAGCGGAGTCTGATGCTCATGGTGTAGGGGGACGTGGGCCACCTCTGGGCTCTGCCCATCTCGTCTGTAGGCCTAGAACAGTAAAGCTTTCCTACCCAGTGTCTCTCTCCTGTCCCTCCTCCTCTCTCCATAGAAGAGGGAGGCGGTCTCCAGTAGCAAAGCCGCCAGGTGCCGTTGTGTCTCTGCCTCTGGACACAGGTGCACCCAGGCCGGCCTGGGGCCTTGCACAGTGGTCTGGAAGTTGAGAAACCCTTTTCAGTCTTGCCATTAAATTGCTTTGTGAAAAGGAGCGCGTTCTGCTTTAATTTCCTGTCACTGACACTGAGTTGTTTTTTAGCTGTCCAAAAGACAAAAGGACCTTTGCTGCCACTCTGTCAAGCATCCATCATGCCGCAATTTAAAATTCACGAAAGCTTTTTGGAGCAGTTGAGCTCACCTTTAGGTTGCTGTAATTTTAAGCTTTTGCCATTCTTCAGTCTGTGTTTCCAACAAGGTTATTATTAAAGGAAAAGTGCTAATTAAGTTTGAAATAAAAAGCTGGAAGTTTCAAGGTGTTTATCTTGAGTCACAGCACAAGGCAAAATTGCCCTAATGTGGTCCGGCATCTTAGTACTCAGACCACACTCTTTGTTGTATTTCTGCTCAACTCCAAAGAGTGGAGGGTCTCAGGAAGTGGTATATTTCCAAAGAAAGCTGTTTGGATAATCAGAGATTCAGCAAAGACCATCCCTGACACCTGTGGCCAGATTTCCCTGTTCTTCATCTCTTCAGGGGCCCGTGGGTCTCTGCCCCTCTGTTCTGCCTCCTGCTGCTCCCCTTTTCCAAGACACCTCCTGCTCTATTTTCCTGGATGATTCTCACTCGGATTTACTTGCCTGTGCTCAAGGTGTACAGCGTGAGGTTTGGATGTGCATCTACGTAGTGAAGGGATTATCACTACCGTCTAAGGCTCAGCTTAAGAACCAGTTTCTTGGAAGGTTTCCCTGACCTTCAGAGGTGGGGGGTCATCCTGGAATTGATTCCTGTGGTGGGGGTGGTGGGAATCTCTCTCCAGGCCTTCTTGCTCTCCGGGGCTCTCTCAGCCATGGTGAGCTCTTTAGTTTTCTGGAGGAAGCACGTCCAGCACGTCCTAGCGGCACATGTCACCTGGGAGGCCTGACATGTCTTCGCAGCACTGTGGAAACTGTCCCCTCACCACACCCTCTGTCTCTCTGGCCACCTGTGTTCCTTGGAGGCCCGGGGTTCCCACTCTATCCCTCTGCTTCTGTCTTGCAGTAGGAATTCCGGGGCAGAGGAGCTCCCTTCCACACCACTATAGACGGGCACCTGCCTGGAGATGGTGTCTGAGAGCCAAGAGGAGGCTACTGGGGGATGGCTTCCACTTCCAGAACGTGCGGACACTGACGCTTGCCGTACCAAGAGAACTGGCCGAGGGGGGCAAGGCCAGGGCAGGTAACGTCAGGGCCAGTGGTGAGGGCATGGGTCCACTGTTCATTTAGCACTGTTCCTCCCTCCCTCCTCCCTTCCTTCCTCCCTTCCTCCCTTCCTTCCTTCCTTCCTTCCTTCCACTGGAGAATGAACTCAGTCTGTTTAACCACTGAGTTACATCCCTAGCCCCAGCCTCTTTTTATTTTCAGACAGTCTTTATAAGTTGCTGTGGCTGGCCTTGAACTTGAACTTGTGATCCTCCTGCCTCAGCCTCCTGAGCTGCCAGAGTTACAGGTGTGCACCACTGCACCTGGCTTCTTATATTTTCTTTAAAAAAATTTTTTTTTAGTTGTAGATGGACACAATACCTTTATTTTATTTGTTTATTTTTATGTGGTGCGGGGGATCGAACCCAGTGCCTCACGCATACTAGGCAAGTTCTCTACCACTGAGCCACAGCCCCGTCCCTACATGTTTCTGATAAAACATGTTTATGAAAAACAAAGCCCAAATTCACATGAAGAGGGAAAATTGGTTTCATTTTCAAACCATACTGTTAAATTTTTAAAATAACGATAGCTTTACTTCTGCAGGCGGTTGCATCTCTGTATATATAAATCAGGGGGAAACAGCAAAGCTTTGTTGTTGTTGTTTATTGTATGGGGAAGCCAGGTTTCCATCGAGATCTTTACCTTCTGGAAGTTCAGAGAAAACATTCAGATTTCAAAAGGAGAAGAGAACGGGGAACAGGCTTATGCTACGTGGATCTTTGGAACCTGGGGGTGAGGCATGTGCTAATTCCAAGAGCTTTTTATATTAAATAACTCAAGCTCACTACGCTATTTGCAGCCCCCCCCCCCCGCCCGTGCTCTGTGCAGAGAGAGGACTGAGCTGGATAATAACTCCCATTGGTGCGGGAGGAGGCTTCCCAGGCAATTCCCTTCATAGATGGGCAAGCAAACAGAGCGTCCTGCTTAGTAAGGCAACATGACTTGGGTGTTAGCTTTTCCTCCCAGACAAAGGCCCCTGGTGGCTGGCTGTCTTTGAAGCGGGCGAGGCAGGGCGCCCTCAGTGCTCAGGGCCAGCCTGCTTCTCCTTCTCGTCAGGACGGTCCAGCATCCTCAGCCTCTGCTCCAGCCTCTGCTTCCATTCTTCCCGGAGCCTGGGAGGGGACACAGCACACGAGGTCATCAGCACATTTGTCTCTAAAGCTGCTGTCCCTGCAGAGGGTTTCCTTTTATAGGAATAGAAAAATAGGTAGTTTCCCCCCAAAATCTAATTCTTCCCAAATTGATATTAGACTTAACACAATTCCTATCACCGTCCAAGTAGGGCGTTTCTGTCGCACTTGACAAGCTGGTTGCAAATTGTCTGGAGAGCCGTGTGCCTGTAGTTCCAGCTTCTCGGAGGCTGAGGCTGGAGGATCACTCTAACCTAGGAACTGGAGGCCAGCCTGGGCCATATAGCAAGACCCCCCTCTTAAAAGAAAGCCAACAAAACATCAACAAAAAACCCCAATAATAATTTCTATTGTCTTAATACTTACTATGAGTTAATACAAATTAAGTCTGAATTTATATTGTCTCAAAATCACTACCTGGTTAATACAAAGCTGGAATCATTATAGTGTGGCCTTGGCAAAGGAACAGGCTGGGGGGCTGGCACACAATAGAGTCCAGAAATAGACACTGATGTGGCTGATTGGTTTGTGGTAAGGGGCAGAGACAACTGAATGGAGCAAGAATAGAATTTAAAAAAAAAATGGGTGCTGCAACATTATTATACATCTATGTTTAAAAAAATGGACTTTGAATCTGCTGGGTGGGAATACATTTCCTGTACCCCCCAAAGCATGCATTAAAATCCTAACCACCATGGTGATGGTGTTAAACTTTGCTTAATTATCAGCCTGGAAGAAAATGGGAAGAATCTGAAGGTGTAGGGGATTAGGTAATATATACTTAATCTAGGAAAAGCCAAATGCAGAAAAAAGAACAAAGAAAAACTAGATTCACCTTAATTTTTCACATCGTTTTCACTCTGACGAGTAACTCTACAATGAATGCAATACTTACGTTCTTTCCATATTCCAGTCTGTTTTCCTGAGAGAGATTCCCATGGGTGAAATATCATAACTTAGAAAGGATAAATATTATGAAGGCTCTAGGCACCAAATTGGCTCCAGGAAAACTTATTTAAGTCTCTGCTCAATTATGGGCCCAGGAAAGAATGGAAGGAATCTGGAGTCAGCCTGTTGTTTGGTGGTGCCCATAGCTGAAGCACCTTAGCAACCAAGGACTGGAAGTCGAAAAGTGGACACAAGAATGAGGGACACAGGGGAACATTCCAGGACCTCAGCCACCATCTTCCTCCTACGTTAACTTTAAATAAAAGTCAGTGACATTACAATAGGGCTTGCCTGCTTGAACAGAGGTGCAGAGCCTGGGACTGCTGCTCCCACAGTGGGAAGATGGCCTGAGAAACAACCTGTCGAGCTTCTAGGACCTTCTATTTGGATATCCACCTATTAGTAATTTTTATAATTATATTTCTTCACTGTGGTTATGAACTCGTCATCCTGTATTTTAATTTCTAATCAGCTTCTCCAATCTGAAGAATATCCAGCTTTACAAACTCTAAAAGGTTCTATAAAAAAAAAATCCTCTTCCATCTACATTGACTTTTGTCGCCTGGGATCTTTTACCGCTAACCAGATGGACTTCTTAATACAAGGTGGATTCATTATTTCACAAAAGGAGCTTTGACTTTTACTTGGTCAGGTGGTCATGAAAACTCTTCACTCGGACGTGGTGGACAACTGACGGGCGGCTATTGGAGCACTCCTGCAGACAAATGTGGATCTGCCCCAAGTCAGATGCCAAGGCCAAACTTCTTGTGGGCTGCTCCCGGCCAGGGACGGAGCCCAGCTGAGCTCTGATTGCACGTCCATTCCTGAAGGAGCAGAACTTCTTTCACAGGCGACTTTGGCTCAAGGTCTCCCCAATAGTCTGACCCAAGTTTATGAGGCCTGCATTGCTGTCCCCCAACCCTCCATCCTTCCCTTTGTCCTGCATGGAGGTCAGGCCTGCCTCAGAGTCTGAAGACTCTTGCTACCTTCTCAGCCTTCCTCCCAGTGCTGTGCTGGAGCTGGCTTTTAATACATAGTCTGTGAGGGCCAATTATTAATTATTAGATTTTTGAGTTGATTATTAAATACAGACATTATTAAAAATAAATTACAGAAACTTATAGTTAATTAAATTATATTAAAAGAAAAGATGATGACAGAATTCATGGCTTCCTAACTATTTATCACGTTTCCCAGTGCTCTGTGCTCTGCGGGTTATTGAGGCCTGGGGCATCTGTGTGGTAAAGGACTGTACCACAGGATGCTATAGCCAAGTGTCACTTCTGAACTCATCGTCATGGATGGCACTGGTAACTTGACCAGTGGTAGGAACATTTGCACCACACAGATGTCAAACACTATTAAACACAGATTTAATTTACTTTTTTGTTCATTGCAGGACAACAATTTGGCCCTCTGGCCCAACTTAGACAGTTTTTGTAAATGAAGTTTTATTGGAGGATGGCCCTGTATGTGTGTGGACCTGTTTAGTTGACACGCGGTCATCATGGCTTTCTCACTACCATGGCAGAGCTGAGTCACTACAGCACAGACCGTGAGACTTATTAAACCAAAAATATGTATTCCCTGGTACTTTTGAAAAAGTATTTGCTGACCCCTGGTCTACATTTAAGAGAGCCATGGGGGAAATTTGAATCATGCCGACTAAAGTTAGAAGAGTGGCACGTCTATAGCTATCACGTTTGGAATACAAAACAATTGAGGAAATGCTCTTTCAGAATTAAAAAAAAATTGAGTATGAGCAATGACGTGCACTTGGCGGATCTAAAAAAAAATTGAGTATGAGCAATGACGTGCACTTGGCGGATCTGGATAGCCATCGAACACTTCTTTGTTGTTGGGTTTTGTCAAATCATGTTTGCATTGCATGGTGGGCTATAGATACAAGAGGTTGCCAAAAACTCCCAAGAGCATGCTGGGAGAATCAGTGGGCTATATAGAATTTCTGGTAAAGATCATACTGCATTTTCCTGTTATCTGCAAGTCGTGTGCTATAGGGCCTCGGTATCGGTGAGATTTATAGCAGTCGTGTGTGTGGATTCACGTGTGCCTCTCCCCAGAGCCAGCTGCTAAGCAGGGATCAGCACACCCCCGCTTCTTCCCATTTTTCTTCCATAGGTGCTTCCCCCAATAAATCGTACGCACATCTAATCTGGCCTTGGCCTCTGCTTCTTAGAGGACCTGAATCAACACATTTGGTCTGATGCATTTCTTCTAGGACGCGGCTTAGGAATCTGGGATTCATAACACATTTATCCACTTTTTATAGCAGCCCTGCCACTATTTATTGCCAAACAGTGAAGGATTCAGGTTCCCATCTTCCCAAATGACCTTTAAATCCTACTTTATGAATATTTAGACTGATTGCTGCTCCTTCTTGGTCAATATCTTTCATCACTGTGTTGCTTCTGCTTAATTTTGGGTTCTCAGTAAACTGGTGAATATAAATGGAGCTTTTACTTTGCAATGGGGGCGGTCACCGTGAGGAAGATAATGCTTAAAAATTAGTGTATAGATTGAGATACGTGAGTGGAGTGAGAAAACAGGCACTAACGCTCACGAGGGGCGTTTTTACCTTCAGCCTAGAAATGCCTCATTTTTCAAAGGGAGGCCAAATCTTATTTATTATTTGCTGTTCTGGATCCTTCCGAGTTGTGCAGGAGTTGTGGCTCCTATCTAGAAACACAGATTCTCCTTGATAAGTATGGGCCTTAACTAGAAGGCATGATGATGCTTGTGAAGGTCTTCGCCATAATTGTAATGTCCTTACTGGGAACCAGTAAGGATCAACTGGGCCCATCATTGAACTTTTTCTGTCATTTACCAGGCATTAGACATCTGTGTTATTTGGGATCCTCTAAGAAGCAGATTTAGGAAAAACAAAGTGGGAGGAACAGAGTGGTTAGGAAGGGCCAGCAGCCTCCAGCGCTGGTCTGACGTCTGTGGAAGAGGGAAAGGGAGCAGAAATGCTGGGGTAGGAAGAGCCCTGTGGCACATCCCACTTCTGAGAAAGCTCGGGCTGGGTTGATGGAGAGTCTCTGAGCAAACCCTGCCCCTCGGAGGAGCCCTGTCATGCAGGACTTGTGTGGGAAGAGCACCTACCATGCTCAGTCGCTGGTTGGGGGCTGACCCAGGGGGCAGTGTGGCCTCAGCTCCGTCACCAATGACGGATGTGGGGAGGTGGCAGCTGGAGGATCAGCCAACTGTACTCCGCAAAGGAGCTCAGAGGGGGACCAGAACTGTGGCCGTAATATGCGAAGAAGAGAAATGAAAACAGCAATCCCTGCCCTCGAGGAATTTATAATTGACGGATTCCTTGATCTCCTAGTTCAGATCTCATTACTCCAATCTTCTCTCCTGTGCTTTTGTTTACTATGAAATGTTGGATGGTGATTTTGCTCCTCCTCCTGCATTCCAGGAGGGAACCGGGTCTTCATAGTTGTTTTCCATGGTGGGGAGAGTGGGGTCTGAGCTTGATTCTGTGGGTTTCTATGTCACTACCCAGGTCACAGGGCAGAGCTCAGTCAATCAACTCAGGCCAAAAAGCTTCCACATGCTCATCTGAGCAACTCCACATACCAACCACATTTTCTATTCTCGTTCTAGGTGACAAATCTACCTAAAAACATCCTCCCTGCTTATCCTTTGTAGGCTAATCCTTTTTTTTTTTTTTGGTAGCAGGGATTGAACCCAAGGGCCTTTGACTGCTGAGCCACATCCTCAGCCCTTTTTTATTTTTTATTTAGAGTTAGTCCTCAGCCCTTTTTTATTTTTTATTTAGAGACAGCATCTCACTGAGTTGCTTAGTGCCTAGCTAAGTTGCTGAGGCTGGCTTTGAACTCATGATCCACCTGTCTCAGCCTCCTGAGCTGCTGGGATTACAGGCATGTGCCACCGTGCCTGGCTTGTAGGCTAATTCTTGTGAAAAGTTTGAAGTGGCGGTCTGGTTTGGCCAGCACATGAAGAGCAGGGGATTTTGTGGTTGGCAGTGATGAGCATCCTGATGGATGGAGCTGATCACTAGGCTGCAGAGCAGAGGGTGGGAATGGGCTCAGGACGGGCCCGATGTGTCCCCTTCTCAATCTCACCAGGTCTGATCACTATCCCACACTGAGTTCTGCTAAATTCTGAAGACCTCCCTTCTCGCATGAAGACATCTCACTGAATGGCTGTGCAGTTTCTCAGTGATAGCTACAGGCCAGTCATGTAGCCTTACATGTTGTCGGATTTATCATCCAAACAGATGCTTTTAGAAATAAAAGGGAATGAAAGAAAAAGTTAGACCAGAGGGATGGCTGTGTAGCCGGCCCACCCCCGGCCCACCAGGGGGTCTGAGTGACCCACCAGTGCCTGACTATTCTCCCTCTGTCCCCAGGGGGTGGTTTGCAAACAGTTCCAACTTCTCCAGGGGAAGGACACATCCACGCTGTGTTGCTAGACTAACTAAGGGAGGTGTTGGTTCCAGTTCTGGGGCCACCTCCTTCACCTTGGGACCCCACCCCCAGGGCCTCTGCCAGATACACCCATCACCAGGGGAGATGGATCTCCAGCTCTGGCTGCCACCTCTGGGTCGAGGAACCAGCAGGCACGTGCTAAGTTTTGGCACAAGATCTCGCCAGGTTAGCCGAGCAGAGGGAGAGGGACACAGACATCACTGCCTTTATCTGCTTTATCTGCTTTTCATAAGGGGCTGCTGGGAAATGTGGAGGTTTTTGTTTCCACCCTTCACGTCCAACATCTCTTGATCTTACAGTGGTTTTGCCTTTTGTAGATGGAAGGTGGAATTTTAAAAAAAGTGTGTGTGTGTGTGTGTGTGTGTGTGTGTGAGAGAGAGAGAGAGAGAAAGAGAGAGAGAGAGAAAGAGAGACAGAGGGGGGGAGGGAGAGAGCAGGCACTGACTGTCCTGGAGTTCAGGAGGCAGAGCCCGCAGGGCTGGGGAGGCGAGGCACTGGGGTGTGCCCTCCCTGGGCCAGCACACCCCAGGACCCGGTGGTTCTGTTAGGACAGTGCTCAAACCGTCTGCTCAGATCAGTGGGGATTTAAACAGACGTTCTGCCTTTCTGGTTTCAATTTCAAAGTATCTAGACTCTTCTGGGGCAGTCTGGTAAATGTGGGATATGTGTGTGTTTTTTTTGTTTGTTTGTTTTAGCAAAGTAGGTTTTCATTTGTTGGCTACCGGATTAAGAAGGCTTTAGGTTTTTCCCTCTTTTTAAAAATTTTTACAGTTGATAAAAGCATAGCTCTGGAAAGTGAGCCCAAGAATGGAGCACAGAAAAGTCCTTTCCCCCACTCCTCATGACCCTCCTGTTCTGAGCTCTGCAGAAGGGACATCCACATCTTTAAACATTCATTTGGGGAGGTGATGATGAATGTTGCATGATGGGCACATGGTGAAGATTTATTTGTTCTTTGGTCACAGAAGGAAGAGAAAACTACTCCAGAATTTGGAAGTGGATGCTTTCTGGGGCCTACGGGAGCCTGGAGAAATAACACGTTTGTTCTACAGACCACTGGCCATTGGTTGCCTTTTAAACAAGTGACTTATTCTCCTAAATACACCATGGCATAGTGTCACTATGGAAACCTTGGGGAACATAGGAGTGTGCATCCTGCCATCTCTCCAACTAAAAATAACTTCTTATAGTATCTAAGCGTATTTTCTTCTAATCTTTGTCCTATATAAGCATATTATATATATATATATACACACACACACACATACACACATACACATATATGTATATATATCACTATCCTTAAAAAAATCAAATCATATCAGAGAATTTGCCTTTAATCCAGCACAACAGGGCTTCTGGAAAGGAAGTTACAGGACAGGGCTCAGTGAGGGGTCTGGCTCCCAGGGACTAGTGGTCCAGGACCAAGGGAGAGAGATGTCCTCACTTCCCTGGGTGCCCTAGCATGTGACCCTCCTAGGAAGGCCTGATTTTGCCTGACAGGCAACTAGCAACAAGGCTGGACTGGTGGGAAAGCTTGTCTCTGGGTATGGAAAGCTTAAAAACTGTTTTTAAAACTTGATGTTGAGGGCTGGGGATGTGGCTCAAGTGGTAGCACACTCATCTGGCATGCGTGCGGCCCAGGTTCGATCCTCAGCACCACATTCAAACAAAGATGTTGTGTCCGCCAAAAACTAAAAAATAAATATTAAAAAATTC